CGGAACGGTCAGCTGGGGAAAATTACTTGGGCACTGTTCAGAGCAGCTCCAGCTGACTAGTTTGTGGCCGTCTGTGTAAGTTTCAAGCGAAGCCATCACATCTGCTACAAATCTCACTTTGTGTATCATGGTCAGGTTTACAAGTGGACACCTCGTACACATGATGTCATGGGTAGATTTTCTAATTGTGAAATGTGCCAAGTCTAGCGGGTATCTGCACCCTCGTTCCATGAGGCCTATATCACAAACGGTTGCTACCCATCTAGCCTCTTCCTTCACGCCTAAACTTGCCCCCCCCCTCCCTCATCTCTCTCTCTCTCTCTCAAAGACACTTGCCTACCTATCTACTTAGCTGTCTACCTATCCACCGATCCACATTTACTACATAGTCCGCGAGGTACACACTCAACTACACTGACCGACAATGGGCATCAAGACAATGCTTCAATAAAACAAAGTCCGTGGGCTGAGTTCCTTCACAGAGACTGTTCTCACAGAGAGACCCGTTACTTCTGCAGGACTGGCGCCCCCTGAAAGTCTGACTTACATATGAGGTGGCGTCACGGCGTGCCATATCCACTACATTAATCAGACAAATCCTTTCCGACTGACCGGATGAATTCACTAGCTAATTGTGTGCCCATTACTGGAGACAGCCAAGTGGTCATGCCTGCCTGTCCCTCTAGCAAATCCGTCACGGTTAATCTGATGACACAACAAACAAGAACCCAGTCACTGACCCCTGTAGAGTGTGTCCGGCTATATTTTATCAATCGGGATTAACTGGCCCAGGACAAAAAGCCAACGGGAGGGCAAGACAAGAGGTTTGGGTGTAGAACGTGTCACCACAGTGGAACAGTACAGTCAGCGGTAAATAGGGATTAGATTTCTAGATGGTAAATAGAGATCTACACACTTCTTGTCTCCACCAGTTCGATCCGGCGTGAGGTTCTATGGTATCAAATTCGAGAGGAAATACCCGGATATCCACTAATCACCTAGCGATACTGTAATCAGCCTTCCTTCCTTCATTCCTCCTTCCATTTTTCTTCGCCTGCCTAGTTTGCTACCCCCATATTTCCCAACCTTATTGTCCAGCATTCGTTGCTACCCCCATATTTCCCAACCTTATTGTCCAGCATTCGCTGCCTAACCAATATTTCCCAACCTTATTGTCCAGCATTCGTTGCTACCCCCATATTTCCCAACCTTATTGTCCAGCATTCGTTGCTACCCCCATATTTCCCAACCTTATTGTCCAGCATTCGTTGCTACCCCCATATTTCCCAACCTTATTGTCCAGCATTCGCTGCTACCCCCATATTTCCCAACCTTATTGTCCAGCATTCGTTGCTACCCCCATATTTCCCAACCTTATTGCCCAGCATTCGTTGCTACCCCCGTATTTCCCAACCTTATTGCCCAGCATTCGTTGCTACCCCCATATTTCCCAACCTTATTGTCCAGCATTCGTTGCTACCCCCGTATTTCCCAACCTTATTGTCCAGCATTTGTTGCTACCCCCGTATTTCCCAACCTTATTGTCCAGCATTCGTTGCTACCCCCATATTTCCCAACCTTATTGTCCAGCATTCGTTGCTACCCCCATATTTCCCAACCTTATTGCCCAGCATTCATTGCTACATCCATATTTCCCAATGGAGACTTCGACGGGAATTAAAAGGCGAATGGCTATAGCAATGCAAAGACTGAACAGCCTTAAAAGTCTATGGTTAAGCACCAGCAAGGAGATAAAAATTAGAATTTTGAGAGCATGCATCTTGCCTGTGGCTACATACGGATGTGAGTCGTGGACTATCTCTCAGTCCTTGAGAAAGAGAATAGGGGCTTTTGAGCTCAAATGCTATAGAAAGATTCTCAGAATATCTTGGACTAAAGAAGATGAGAAAAATTGACAAGCGCCACGACGGATTGGCAAAAATTATGACAGAAGGCATGATACCAGGAAGGAGGGGCAGGGGTCGACCGACACGAAGATGGGCACAGGATATAAGTGACTCCTTGAGTGTGAAAGAGCATGAGGCGGGAGAACTGGCGAGAGACCGAGTTTCTTTCAGGCAGACTGTGATGAGAGCGACGTTCTGCAGAGGACCTGCTACATGATGATGATTGTCCAGTATTCGCTGCTACACCAATATTTCCCAACCTTATTGTCCAGCACTCGTACATACAACTCCCCCCCCCCCCCCCCACACACACACACACACACACTCACAACGTATGAGGGTATGAGCTGAGACTGAGATGGAATCCGGCCAAGCGCCCACCATGATATGTTACATTCAGCACCCAAACTTTGCATTCTCGCTAGAGACTTCCAGCGCATGACAGAAACGAGCATTCATGTTACCAAACAGAACCATAACAGTCATAACCATTCCTGAGATTCTTCAAACCCTTCAAACGAAAGTATCCGACCACCAACAGTGCTAACGTCACTTGCATATGCCCACTGTACAGCGTGATCAACAGATAACCCACATCTTGGTATCTGGTATCAACGACCATGTATCCCGAGATCTTCAGAACCCCCGGCTACCTCCCAAACCATAATAAACGGAAAATATCATAAACCCATTAGGCCGCCTGAAGACGGGGGAGTCAGAAAAACATGGTCTTGGCTGATTTACGAACAGTAAGATAAAACAATGTCACACTTGCCAAAGTAAGAAGAAAAAAACACAGCTAATAAATGCTACCATCGTTGCATCGCAAGAAGCCATTGGTTAGAGCCAGCACTAAATCTGGCTTAGCCGTAAGCTGCGCTAAGCATACAAGTCTTGAATACACTTAACGTTTTTAAGACAGCAAGCAACCTCTGACCTAAATAGTAGAACTAAAACAAAAATGAAGTTGCACTACTTAGTTTGTCACAAAGTTAACCTTTGGCCATTTGTAGCAACCTGGCTCGGTAGTTGACACGGCACGTTTCATTAGGATGATTTACATAGAGCACTAGGGGTTAGCCACCATTAAGTGATCCGGCAGGCATGTGTGAACACGCCTCTAGCAAGAGGAACTTCGCGGTCGGCATCACAACCACTGAGTTACAACGTTATCAGATTTCAGGCAACAATATATGTACAGGCTCGGACTTCTTGCTTTCTTTCTGTCCACCTGTATGTTGACCAACGTCCAGCTATTCTTCAGTTCTGTCCCCATGACTACATGGCGCATACACAACACTGCTAGGGTACCAGGGTATTCAGGTTTCAACAACGGATCAACATCATGGCACAAGGGTAGTAATCTATAAGTGCTCCAATCTACTTCTAACTCAAGCCTGAGTCTGAAGTAGCTCAGCGCAGTGCACGGGCTCCGAAGCATAGGCGAGGATCGTGAAATATTTGGGTAGATTTTTAACTCCAAGTTTTGCCCCGGCTGCGCCGTTATGCCACTCTTTAAGATTTGCAACTACCAAGGGATTTTTAACGTGCGCAACAATGCACACTGGTCTCCGATCTCACTACCCAGAGACCGGGGGAAAAAGGGGGGGGGGGGGAATTACTAGAAGTCCACTTGAAAAAAATCGCAGCCTTCACATGGGTCTGACCCCAGGACCACCATGCCTCGAGACCACGCAGCCCCTAGGGTACCAAGGTATTGAACATTCAATTTTACACACACACACACACAGAGAGAGAGATATAGATAGATAGAGATAGAGAGAGAGAGAGAGAGAGAGAGAGAGAGAGAGAGAGAGAGAGAGAGAGAGAGAGAGAGATGTGCTGAAATGTTTAAACTCTTCCATTTCAACACGCGCATAAAGCTATGATAAGTCTGGAGAGGTCGCTTTCACTCTTCTAGTCTCAGAGAGTAAGAGCTGTCTTGTTCATTTCTGTCGACATCTGTTTGACAGACATCCAGTGGTGTTCCACGTCTATCCAAGGATATAAATGACAGTATCACCCCTGCTGTCATGTACAGCTCTCCCAGTCTCTGCTTCAGGGAGCACTCGCAGTTCTCTTCTAATTGCAACATAAGTGATAGTATAACCTAACGGTCTTCTACACGGGGCTTATCTTACTGTTAACTCTTACCATAAATCGCTAGACATGAAAGGTGGCCATGTTTAACAAGAACATACTAACTAAGTGAGAAACTATTCGACCCTATCTGTTTCGGAAACCTGGTAGCCTTGCACTTTTGAGTGTCCAGTCAATCTCTTGAGCTTGTCTTCTGGCCTGACAACTCGATCCGCCGCCAGGGTGTATAATTATCTCACACTCGCTGGGGTCAGTCGGTTCATAGACGGGTTTTTGATGTCGTGACTCTGTTGTCTCTACCTAATAGTTATCGGTGGTTGCGGATGAGCGATGCTGATCACACAACCTCAGTGTTGACAGGTAAATATCGAAACTGTGCCACATACCAGTATGGAACCACCCAGTTGAAACACCCGGTGGGGCATCTACTGGAGTCGCCTAGAGAAACCATCCAGTGAGCCATCTACTGGATTCGCTTAGAGAAACCATCCAGTGAGCCATCTACTGGAGTCGCTTAGAGAAACCATCCAGTGAGCCACCTACTGGAGTCGCCTAGCGAAACCATCCAGTGAGGCATCTACTGGAGTCGCCTAGAGAAGCCACCCGGTGACCCATCTACTGCAGTCGCCTGTAGAAGCCACCCGGTGAGCCATCTACTAGAGTCGCCCAGAAAAGCCACCCAGTGAGTACACCTAAAGGACCCAGCCACTGAAACCACCCATTGTGCCATCTAGCAGAACCAGCCAGTGAGGGCGCCTACAGGAGGAACCAGCCAGTTAAACCACCCAGTAAGCTATCTTGTAAGGTTTCCTAGAGGAAAGTACCCAGTCAGCTATCTAATATAGAGTCGCATAGAGCAACCATTCGGTGTGCCATCTAGTGAGGCTTAAGACAGCAGGCATGAATTAACTTCTAGATCACAAAAACAATTATAACTATGGCGAGACAGAAAGTGACCAAAAACCCATGTGAAACCTGACAACAGCCACATACCTTGGATAGTGCGTTTGAAGAAAGCCTTGCAAGCTTCGCAAGAGGACACACCATAGTGATATCCCGAGGCCACGTCGCCACAGACCAGGCACAGTCGCTTGGCTCCGTCAGCACCCTCCCCGCTCTCGGAGTTAAAGGAGCTGGAGCAGAAGTCAATTTTGATATTGTCTAAGCTACACGGGGATATATTGCCGCTGTCGGCGCTGTCTCCCTGGTAGGACCTGTCCGAGCCGTAGTCGTCCCGCGAGGGGTCGTAGGCGAACACGTCCCTGGGGAAGCTGTCGTCAAGGTTGGGCTGCGTGCAGCGACCCAGTCCTAGGGGGCTATTTGGTTCGCATTTGATGACCGTGTCCAGATCCATGCCAGCCCACAAGGTTCCAAGGCGATAGGCTAGACTACTGTCGTCCGCTTCCTGTGGAAGAGAGACAAAACATGGCGTCACCAGAGAGTTTCACACAATCGTAAAAATCCACCAGATAAAACAAGCAAAAGAAATACAATACACCCAGTGACACTCATATTATAGGCATTGCAGAGGGTTCAATCTTTAACTGCATTACAGTCAATCATTAAAAGATGTGGTGTATTACATCAAGGGCTGTATATTGTGAGGATAATGATGGTTAACGTGGTTTCTTACGATGACCATGGGTGTGCACCAAGATGAACTCCTGTTCAAATGTCGACTGATGAATGTCTGTAACTTGTGTACAGTTGACGAGTTTCGAGCAGCAGCCAATATTCTGTAACATGTGACACTTGGCTAGTACAGTTTTTCTCTGTTTCATCTTAGTTTACATGTTTTACACTTATACATACTGCATTTAAACCACTCTACCGTGTCCATTCAAAGCTCTACTCCACGAGTACCTTGTCAGCCAGCAGTGGCAGCAATGCCGAGAAGAACCGAGACCGTCTGTGTGTAAGTTACAACCAGGTAAGAGATGCTATAAACATCACAGTGTATATATACACTCTCAAACCTGATAGATTCCTAGTGTGGCCTGGTCAGACACCGTGAAGACAACATCAGTCCCATGTCGTCTATTTCCGCAAATGTGGGATCTCTAGGACCAGAAAGAAATCACCGCAGCGTCATGACACTGTCCTGCCCTGAGACAAGCGTTCCCAAGCACAGAACACATCCTCCCTGAAGCTAACCACAGCCTGACTGATGCAGCGTGGCTAACTCATGAAGTGCATGAAACTGGAAACTTCTCTATCGACCACTGGACCATGGTACGGGGTCGGAGACTGACAGGATAGCTACACATCTCTTCCATCTGCACATGATAGCCATATACTGACCTGGTTCTGTATAGAAACTCTGTCAAGGCCACTCAAACACACTGACCTACAAACAAGTGCCAGTCTTCCAACAGAAGACATGGTCGTGAGTTATCTTGCTGGGAGATACACAACTGGGTTACGAAACATGAGATGGCCTTGGCCAAAACACATGCCACATTATCAAGTCAGCCAGGCGGCCAAGGGTGATATACCAGTCACTGTCTCAAACATGGCGAAAATATCGAAGGGGAAAAAAGCAAAGTGGAAAGAAAAAATCGCCAAACCTACAGAAGTAAACAATATTCGATACAAACTTGCGTAAAGGCAGGTTACATAAGTGCCAGATTAACCGAGCTTCCCTGGCACAGACCCCGAATCTCAGAGCTGGCACCAGGCCACCAGAGCTGGCACCAGGCCACCAATGTCACAGACTCCCCAGCCAAGAATGTCTACCCCCAGCGACTGTTTGTTTTATCCAACAACTACTTACTATCATGCTTGTAGTTAGTCCTCCAATAAACCAATGAGCTAAGGCAAACGGAATGTGTAGCTATATATTGGTCAGTCACCTTTGACATGTTGTATGTGTATTAACCAGGGAAGCCTTTTCAAGCTGCAATCTGTCTCACTTGATGCTGGCTTCCTCTCTAAGCTTCCCACAGAACAAAGGCAAGTACCGTTCACAGCGGCATCCATCTCTGATCAAGGCCCACACATAGAAACAGCTGACTACTGTCAGGCTGGCCAGAACATTCTTCGCAAAGTCTATAAGCAAAATCCACAACTAGAAAACTTACGGGACCATGCTATGATTGGTGCTACCAGCACGGCTGCGCATGTTTCAGATCCCAGTCATAACCCATTTTCGTGTGACCCCAAAAGGTATTCTGGGATCGACCCATAATCATAAAACAGAAACAGTACAGCTGTCTTCGGACAGAAGGCAAGCAGGTATTAGTTAATCATGTCACATCACTCCGTGGTACAGACAAGAAGTTAACATTGTTAACAGTGAGCGAAGAAAAACCACACAAAACAAGTACTCGCACAGAAATACATACATACACGCGTGGGAAACTGTATCGTTGGCGGTGGCGAGGAAACATGAAGCAACAGATTAAGTACACACACAAGCTACGACAAGATGGGGAGACCAAGCCGACGTCTGCAGCCTATCTGTACGCGCCATTGTGTGGTCTGACGTTGCCTCAATCAATACGTCAAACACCACAAGCATACACACAACCATCAACAGATACGGCGCTGATAAAGCGCTGACTGTCACGCAGTGATTTTTCCTCAATGGGTACAACAGCCAGTCAACAAATCAATCAATCAATGGATCAATCAACATCTGTGTGTGCTGGCGGCCATCAACAGAAAACCGGCGTTGTTACGTTGGCAATCCTGTGCTACACGACCAGACACCGTACATGACATAGCAATCCCCATTACTGTACATGTTTTCCTCTTTTGCTCTAGGATCTCGTGTCAGTATCTTGGCAATACTGAAGAACTGACAGTGTAAACATTATTGACCGTGCGTGTCGACTGGCCCAGGTTCAGTCCACCATCTAGTCGACTGCGCGTCCAAAGAATGCTTGCTCCTAGCTGATGGGTCATCACCTGGAGGGTACATGTCCCAATTCCGGTAAGGCAATTCTAGCTGGTCATTCTATAGTCTACTGTATCTGTCAGTGCTACCTCTGCTATCTATTGGAAGTCTCGCGGGTCCAGAAGTCCGTCGTCTGCCTCACAGTATGAACACAGTGGGTTCGTCTATGAGCTACGTCAACCGGTTCACAGTAGCGCTCGTTCTCTGAGAGTTTACAAAAGGCGAGGGAGGTCACTCAAGTTAAAAGTGTGTATTTTGTGTGACCAACGAGACAATAAAGTGGTCAGCCACGACGAACTCGATCATTCAACTACAGGATTGTTAAATCAATACCTGCAAATCAACTGTTGCTATTTTCATACTCTAGCTGGGAAGGGTCTTAGAGAATAGGCACAGATAATGTCCAGTATTGCAGGAGACATGTTGGAGAGGGAGACTGACCAGGCAGAGAACTGGTCAGACGCCAACTTGGCTATGCTGCCACATTATACTTCACAATGTCACGGCAATATGTGCCTTTATCTCTGATACACACGTGTCGCAGCGACACATCAGCAGCACACGTAATCATTGCAGTATGTTCAACTAAAGTCAAGGATACATTGTCACGCCTTCATGCGTGCTGGGCATATAGGGCTAGGCCTATATTTAGAAACCAATCGGCTCTCGGTGGCTGAAGCAATCATCATCACACCGGCCACCTTGACTTTCCAGGATTTCACCTGGTACTCGAGTACTATATGTCTATAGATTGATCCACCTGGGGTAGCAGGAGTCTGGTGGGTCAGAAGGTCGTGGGTTCAGGTACTGATGGAGCCCTGGCCTCCAAGTGGACCCAGCCTTGGTGGCTAACAGGCGCGGCCCTAGAAAGTACGGGCGGCCGGCGTTTGGCTGACCACGTCCCCCATAACGTGCCGACTGGTCTGTCAGATTGAGGTCTAGCCCTATAGGTCAAATACGCCCGACCTAATATAACTGTTGTACGGCTGAGCAGTGTTTCTAGGGTCTGATGTTTACCAGGCGGTCGTAACATCCTACTTCTACAGGCATTTGTTAACCGGGTACACAGATACACAGAGAGAGAGAGAGAGAGAGAGAGAGAGAGAGAGAGAAAGGGAGAAAGAGAGAGATAGAGAGAGACAGAGAGAGAGTCAACCAGGGCTACCCGGATGCAGTACTTTGTACAGACAAATCAACACTGGGTGGGTGATGAGGTCAACATAACACCGCCTTTACTTCCCTGGACATTACCTAGTACCATTTTATACTAGCTCGTGACATCCAAGAGCCCAGAAACTATCAAACGAAGTTCGTGAACAAGCCTCTGTAAAAAAAAAATCTCACACAGTAACGGACATTACAAACCTCGACTGGAACCAGAACAGTAGAACGGTACAGCACCCGACTGAAATAAGAACGGTAGAACAGAGTAGCACCCGACTTTATGCTTCAGCGTGCTGCCTGGGTTACTACCCAGAATGCAACAGTCTGACAGCAGGCTGGCGTAGTTGGTACTTTCGTACAAATTGAGGGTTTGTTCAGCAGTGACGTAATGGACAAATAATTTCGCTTCTAGTCAAAAATAAGGTAAACCAGTGGTGTGAGTGTCTTTTAAAGATGTTTGAACGGTTTTTCAAAAACAAATTCGGTACCTTCTGGTGTGATTCGGTCAAAGATGTGGTACTGTTCACCCAAAACATGCCGGGAGCCCTGTTCGACAGGTAGAAAGCGAAAGACTAGGCCATCAACCAGAGCAATAAAACTGGTTAGAGAAACGTCCCAACCAAATCGCTTTGCTTAATAAAAGGATTGGAGAAAGGGAATCTGATCACTAGCAGGTCTTAACACTGTCTACTGAACTGTGACACGCCATATATGTTCCATACAACCGAGTGATGTACACGGTAGGGACGCAGCGGACATGGTCTACAGACCACAACACACACAGGGCTTACCAACAGTAGTTACATGGAAATAAGCAGGAACTGGGTACAGATAAAGGTCTCTACACATGCTCACTAACTAACAAGCAACATCTGTCGCCACCAGTGACTGACACACTCAGCTCTTGCCATGCACGATGTCGCAGGTCTGAGGAGCGTTGTTTCTAGCCAACCTTTGCCAACAATTGGAATACACGGACTGCACGTTCCATGACCCACACAATAACTGACAGCAAGGGCCTTTTGCTTGAAGCCAGGATGCTACAACCAGACATTACAGTACACACTAGACAAAGGACATGATATATATATATATATATATATATATATATATATATATATATATATATATATAATATATATATATATATATATATATATATATATATAAAATTGTTCAATAGGTTTACGATATAAAATTGTAGTCTGTACTGAGGAAATCATCAATAGGTTGATAGAGATTTGATAAGGCGAACAACAAACCAGTCACCTGTGCAAATGATGAGGAAGGAAGTGATAGACAGACGTTACCGCCTCGGACGTTGGGCAACCAGGAAGAAGAGGCAACCAAAAGGTTCAGCGAATGTAGGAACATGTCCATGAATCTGCTGCTGTAATCATGACACGTGACAGCAACCTCAGCTTGGCGTCATGACGACTGCCGGCAGTTGATTCTGACGAGAGCGGAGATTTAAACCTCTGACTACCAGATGATCTGGCATGCGTCTTACTCGGTAGCTACTGTTTGTCAGTGGTTCCTTGCCGTTGTTCTTGGCTTTATATCAGTGTCATTCATGATCAAATCGTTCAGTTCCGTCTAACCCCCGCTCCCCCCTTCTGTAATGTCCTGTTCTGGGTTAACCCATTTCAACTTCCCCGGAGATGAACAATTCAGAGCCGTATAATCTCACCACAAGCAAGAGACCATGTAGCAGTTGGCGAAGGCCGTCAGCAAATATCTAAGGTGGCCTAGTGGTTAGTGCACTTGGCCACACGCACTGACTGGTGTGGGTCAGTGCACAGCAGAGGCAGAGTCCCGATGTTTGCATCATTGCCATCCTGTAGACGACCAAATCCCAAGATCAAGTCCGCAAACAAAGCAGCCTCTTCTGGTGTTTAGCTCATCTAGCACACATTGCTACAACTGTATGGACAGCATGGCACCGTCCGCCTTCAACTCCCAGGACATCACCAAGTACTCACTTGAGGCTAGGTCGACCTGGCAGCCAAAGTCTTTTTTGTTTATTTCTGAACCATAGACCTTGGACCAGTAAACGAGCGGCTAGGCGCTATGCCATTGCGGTGTCCCCTCATATAGGTTGTAAAAGATAAGTGTCCGAATAAAATGGGAAGTGTCCGATAAAGACAAGCAGCGAGGAAAGGAACTGGTACCCCATGTCTCAGCACCGTGCCACAGAATCTGCGCGAGCTTACACCTTACACTCCAACGACAGTTTCAACTGTGGAAATAGCCGACCTACCTGTGAGCAGTAGTACATCTCGTCAGCTACATTTGACTCTGCAGCTCAACATGTCAAAACAAATGCCAGCTTGCAACCATCAAGTTTCAGCAAACAACACTAGCAAACTTCACTGGCATGTTAGTGGGCTGAACGGCGGCTAAAGCTGAGTTAAATGCTGATGTGCCACCTTCACCAGCAGTTGAAATCACTAAACACACCAGAGATGCACTGAAACCGTTACATACACAAGGGATGCACCGAAACGTTGGCCATTCATACAGGTGAACGCACAGGTTCTAGCGGCCAGGTAGTGGAATCAAAGGCATGCCAGCTTCAATTAAAATCTACAATTATCCACGAAATATACCAGCAGACAGTTAGCGTGAAAGCGAGCAGCACGTGCACACCACGGACCAACAGCGGGGACAGACAAACCACGGAGACGCTACAAGATCACAGGAACATGAGATGTCAGCTATGTAGGAGAGAGAAAGAGTGAGAGAGAGAGAGAGAGAGAGAGAGAGAGAGAGAGAGAGAGAGAGAGAGAGAGAGAGAGAGTTATAGGTACAACGGGCGTCACCTGTGCCTCACAACCAGCACACGTTTCAAACGGATGACACCTGGCTCAAGAGTGGCTACAAAAGTTGCAGTTCCATACGTCCAGATGACGTCAATAGGTAGCTCCTTTGGCAGTGGTGTATTTCTTTCTACACGACACTAGGGGTACTAAAAAAAGTGTTGGTCCAAAAGAAACAGATATAGCAGCCAAGCTGTAAACCACAACACATCGTGTCAGTTTTAAACCCAACTAAAGCGAACGATTTTTCACTATAAACCTTAGCTGACACTTCTATGAAAATCAGCGTAACAATTCGAGGGTGAAGCCTGTATAGTCAGCCCTAGTGGAAGCCGCTCAGTCAGACATATACACATGTGTAAGCCGTAGTGCCGACAAGCCGACCTCATGTCAGAGCCCTATAGCCGCTCCGTCACATATAAGTGTAAAGCCCTAGTGGAAGCCGCTTAGCCAGACATATACATGTGTATAAAGCCCTAGTGGAGGCCGCTCAGTCAGACATATACACGCGTGTAAAGCCCTAGTGGAGGCCGCTCAGTCAGACATATACACGTGTGTAAAGCCCTAGTGGAAGCCGCTCAGTCAGACATATACATGTGTGTAAAGCCCTAGTGGAAGCCGCTCAGTCAGACATATACAGGTGTGTAAAGCCCTAGTGGAAGCCGCTCAGTCAGACATATACAGTGTGTAAAAGTCCCAGAGAAATGATAAATGTTGAAACAAACTGTGCATGTGAAAAGACACTGGCACAAACAGGCAGGAGACTGAGTCCCGACAAGTAGTGGCTTTAGTTACACCTAGCTGAGCTATTTCTCCTCATAGTAACACGATTCATGGGAAACAACACAAGCCAGACAAGAAACGGATACTGGTCCCAGTTATTATTGGCCTACCGGTCCTAACATCATGTGTTTGAATCCACATCGAATCGAAGTTTTTTTTTCTTTCTTCCAAAAGTGACAGCGGCTCCCAGGTCAACCTTGCCCAAAATGGGTACTGGATACTAGGTAATGTCGTGGGAAGTAAACGCGGCTGATCACAGCAGCCACCACTGCTGACTGTTCTATAAAAATGCTAGACTAGCAAATGATGCCTGGTACGGCCGTGGCGTAGAAAGGACCTACTTTGAATATCTAACCCAATTTTCTTCCATATACAGGTCATTCAATATTGATATGTGCTGTGACCTAAACATCGATCTGGACTAGGGATTTCGCCCAAGCTCTTTCTTCATGTGTGGGGAACTTAGTCCTGGTTTGACGAAACGACAGACAGTTAACCTGAACTAGACTCTATAGATATCACATGTATACAAACATTATCTAGCTGCAGATCAATCTTACCATATTAAAGAAATCAATCTTCGAAGTTTGGGTGTGCAACTTGCTCACAAAATAACCAAATAGATTCTGGTGTAGATAACAATGAGCACACAGATGTCAGCACACTAATCCAGCACACAGAGGAGCAGCGGGTCCGGTCTTGTCCTCCTCACACTATCCGCACGCGCTGAGAGTTTCTGCACTGGTCCACAATATCAGAATCCGACCAGATCAGCAGTTGGCCAGACGTAGGCCACGACAATGTAACGAGGGAACAACGAGTGCTGTACGGAGACCTGACTGCAGCGACCAAGCCTGTTCCGGGCTAGGCAGGATGTCTTCTACACCTGTGACAGGCGCACGCTATTTATCTTGCCTGGGCTTAGGGCGGCAAACAGCTGATCTATGTTATTTAACAGTTAAGGGGCTGGCCGTAGGCAATGTCTGCCACACTCAACATTTGCCTGAAGACAATATCGCAATGTACAACAATCCAAGAACGTTAGTTCTTAGTCCTGCGTCAAATGCTGGTAGTGGTCACAGAAATGAGTGAAGAGTTCTCGGTATTAGTCTCAAATAAGCGTGAAGTATTAGAGACCAACTCTGCGGTGCTGAAGATGCTGTTTAAACAAACGACATGAAGCGCTGTTCTTCCTTGCTGGTCAACACAGGGCGAGCTCTGCACAACCTACTGGAGAAGCACCACAGACACAACAACTAACGCTGGGACTAGAGAGCAAAAATCTACGACCTGCTTTCCACGCCGTCTACTTCTCAACTAAGTATGGGACCCAACCGCAGGCCAGTTTTGTTTGGGGATGTACGGCTAAGTAAGTGGTGGGGGGCGGCAAGAAAGGGGAGGGTGCCCTGCTAAACAGCCACACTGATGACATCAAAGGGTAGTCTTCCGCTGTTATTAATACTTTCACTAACGGCCCGTCTTCCCCCGACCCCTCTTTAGCACGAGATGTCAAGGTTCAATTACCTGTGCCCCTGACATCCACGCCCACTTTCGGTGGGGTATCCAGTCGCCGAGCGCACCGCATATCGCAGACTGGTCCATGGTTTTTCATTCATGAAGCCCAGCAACTTATGGGCAACCACCAACTACAACCACAACCCACTCTCGCCTTTAACCCAAGTATTCTTTTACTAGCTATAAAAGCTTTATGCTACATTTTTTTTTATTTTTTTACACCCCCGCCCCTATTATTATTTTTCTATAGAGTGTGAGAGAACCACCACACACACAAACGCACAAAACCTTGCCTTCCGCTGCCCCCCCCCCTCACTCCCTTTTTTAAAACCCCTATGGTACCACCACCCGTCTGCCTAAAAAAAAGGCTAACAATGTCCGGTTCCCCCTCCCCCTTTTTTTTCCTAAGCCGCTGATGCGAAAATCCCTCCCCTATCAAGCGTGGAGAATCACTCAAGTGTTGCCGTCTACAAACCACCTGTAGCCGGCGCTGCTCTTCATAAATCCACAGCGGCGACAGAGGGTGGCGAAACCACAAGTGCTGGAAGTGATTTACGAGCAGCGGCGAGGGCTAGTGAGGCTTTCACCAAGAGCAGGTCCTAGCTCCTTCCATAGCCGGTCGAGATGGCAGTGTCACGTCAGCCTCTATACCCAGTTACTTACATCCAGTCAAAGGCTACAAAAACTTGCGTTTATTTCTATATGAAAGCCCAAAAACTAATCCGCGTTAGAAATGTGTGGTTTCATACTGGAATGTTGCAGTGAACGGAGACGCCAGTTGTGTGTTACACACATTCTACTTACACAGGTCTATATTCCAAATGTAATATCGGTAGCATGATTAGGTACTATTTAAAGTACTACAACGAGTTGTGTGAAGTAATGTCAGCTGTGTAAAGTACTCCATTGAACTTGTGTCAAGTACTTGTTTCGATCCCTCCATCAGAACACCGATGAGCAGGAGACCAGTGTGTTTCCTGATGGAATGATCGAACAAGAAGGGGCATTACTTCACACAGCTGACATTACCTCACACAATTGACAGTAGTAATGTCCCTTGATGTGTGAAGTAATGTCCAAGGACGTGTAAAGTAATGCCCGTTCATGTGTAATGTCCCTAGATGAGCGAGGTAATGCTGCCACTTGTGTGAAGTAATGTCCCTAGTTGAGCGAGGTAATGTTGCCACTTGTGTGAAGTAATGTCCCTAGATGAGCGAGGTAATGCTGCCACTTGTGTGAAGTAATGTCCCTAGTTGAGCGAGGTAATGTTGCCACTTGTGTGAAGTAATGTCCCTAGATGAGCGAGGTAATGTTGCCACTTGTGTGAAGTAATGTCCCTAGTTGAGCGAGGTAATGTTGCCACTTGTGTGAAGTAATGTCCCTAGATGAGCGAGGTAATGCTGCCACTTGTGTGAAGTAATGTCCCTAGATGAGCGAGGTAATGCTGCCACTTGTGTGAAGTAATGTCCCTAGTTGAGCGAGGTAATGTTGCCACTTGTGTGAAGTAATGTCCCTAGATGAGCGAGGTAATGCTGCCACTTGTGTGAAGTAATGTCCCTAGTTGAGCAAGGTAATGTTGCCACTTGTGTGAAGTAATGTCCCTAGTTGAGCGAGGTAATGTACCCAGTTGAGTGAAGAAATGTCCCTAGCTGAGTGAAGTAATGTCCCTAGTTGAGCAAGGTAATGTTGCCAGTTGTGTGAAGTAATGTCCCCACCAGCTTGGAGCCCTAGTTTGATGGCGTAACCTGTACTTGTGTACAGTAATATCGCTACAGATATGCAAGCAAAAGTTATCAGTTGCCCTAACCTCACCGCAGATCTACACACGTAATATTTCCCTTCCCATCCCCATTTGCTGGAATAGTACGTGCGTTCAGTGGCCCCCATACAGACCGGAGTTATCTCATTGGTGCCCAGATACCCGGAGGTACCATGTGACTTGTCAACAACCAAGATCTGCAGTCAGGCAGCAGCAGGCGCGCCAGCTACCGTTAGCCACAGTCTAGCACTGGCGGACAGACACCCGGAGATACAAGGGGTGGGACTGAATGGTTGCAGCTGGGGGGTCGGATTGTGGTCCGCTGGCATCTAGATACCTGTAACCTGGTGAGGGCACATTACCTAATAACCAAGGTTTCATTCCAGTCGGTGTGTAATATGAGAGTATGTACATGCGCTTGTGCGTGTATCCAATTACGAAGTGATCAGACTTAAGACTTCCAAACTGTTAAAAGTTTTAGTATTTATTTAGACCGTCTGTTAGTTAAAATTTCTAGTTAGATATCAACACTTCCGGGCAGGAAACACCTGAAGTCATAGATTGTAACACCTTCAGCCATATAATGACAAGTCGTGAAACTGCTTCCCTCAACGTAACATCCGTTACTTGATGTGAGAACCCGTGGTTTCAGTCACTAAAATCCGAACAGCGCTATCAAGTGCACATAGAGCACTCGACAGACTCATTTACAGGAAGCTACATCCAAGTATGGCAGCAGTGGACACAAGCACAACTGCCTCAAAAGACAAAAACGCAAGACCGCACGTTTCGAACAAACTCTTTATCAGATGAACTAAGACATCGGGAACACAGCACAGTGAATGAACTTTCCTACAACACTGAGATTACGGTCGGCGTCTGTGGCTTAGGAGTTGCAAACGCGCTTCGTAATGCCGAGTTCGATCCCATCTGCGAGCCTTGCATTGGTTTCGACAGTGGTATCGAGAAGCAGACTGCCCATAAAACAATGGCAAACTACTGGGCGTAAATTCGCCTAGAAAAACAACAGCCACACAAAAAAACTCAGCCTGAGAAAATTGTAAACAATAAACGGCAGCCAAATGTGACAGCTTTTTTCCCCAGCGACAAAAAAAAAAGAAGCAAATCTGCATTAGGGAAGACGTCCAAGTGACAGCAGTAGGCCGTATCCGTGAAGAATGAGGTTCGGACCATATACTAAAAGAAACACTGATACTGTGCGTATTACAGGAGCCACAATAATAATCTAGCAATAATAAAGACCTTGATCAAAGCGTATGACCCACCCGTACTCGCAGACGACAAGTATGAACAACCTATATCACCCAACCGGTATATTTATTCATTCAACACAGTCAGTGAATGTTCACAAATCAGCAACACAGTGAATGTTCACAAATCAGCAACACAGTGAATGTTCACAAATCAGCAACACAGTGAATGTTCACAAATCAGCAACACAGTGAATGTTCACAAATCAGCAACACAGTGAATGTTCACAAATCAGCAACACAGTGAATGTTCACAAATCAGCAACACAGTGAATGTTCACAAATCAGCAACACAGCATGTCAGGAAACGACAATGAATCAATAACCACATTTAGAAACATTATGACAGCACCAACATCTTAGCCAATGGTTTCTCAAACTTTGTAACGTTGCCACCCTTAAATACAGTCCGTATATTGTGGCGACCCTTTAATATAGTCCTTATGTTGTGGCGACCCTTAAATACACTCCGTATATTGTGGCGACCCTTTAATATAGTCCTTATGTTGTGGCGACCCTTCAATATAGTCCTTATGTTGTCGCGACCCTTTAATATAGTCCTTATGTTGTGGCGACCCTTCAATATAGTCCTTATGTTGTGGCGACCCTTCAATATAGTCCTTATGTTGTCGCGACCCTTTAATATAGTCCTTATGTTGTGGCGACCCTTCAATATAGTCCTTATGTTGTGGCGACCCTTCAATATAGTCCTTATGTTGTGGCGACCCTTTAATATAGTCCTTATGTTGTGGCGACCCTTTAATATAGTCCTTATGTTGTGGCGACCCCTTAATACAGTTCTTATGTTGTGGCGACCCTTTAATATAGTCCTTATGTTGTGGCGACCTTTTAATATATTCGTTATGATGTGGTGACCCTTTAATTTAGTCCTTATGTTGTGGCGACCCTTTAATATAGTCCTTATGTTGTGGCGACCCTTCAATATAGTCCTTATGTTGTGGCGACCCCTTAATACAGTCCTTATGTTGTGGCGACCCTTTAATATAGTCCTTATGTTGTGGCGACCCTTAAATATAGTCCTTATGTTGTGGCGACCCTTTAATATAGTCCTTATGTTGTGGCGACCTTTTAATATCGTTATGTTGTGGTGACCCTTTAATTTAGTCCTTATGTTGTGCCGACCCTTCAATATAGTCCTTATGTTGTCGCGACCCTTTAATATAGTCCTTATGTTGTGGCGACCCTTTAATATAGTCCTTATGTTGTGGCGACCTTTTAATATATTCGTTATGTTGTGGTGACCCTTTAATATAGTCCTTATGTTGTGGCGACCCTTTAATATAGTCCTTATGTTGTGGCGACCCTATAATATAGTCCTTATGTTGTGGCGACCCCCAGCTATACAATTATTTTCGGTGTTACTTCAATCAATATGCGTTTTCTCATGGTCTTAGGCGACCTTTGTGAAAGGGTCGTTCGATCCACAAGTTAAGAACCGCGGATCCAAGCACACAATAACTGGCGTACAACACAGTAAGCCTTCCCTTCAAGTATTTCTTTCAACCATTTTCTGGCAGGAAAAGCGTAATTCATGTTATGATAAATACACAATAGCCCCTAACATTAGCACCCTTGTCTCCTTTGTGCATGGGACAACTCTGTCAGTCAGAAATGGGGTTTCACAGCAGATATCCCGGCAGGTGTGTGTGGGGTGCCGCTTTGAAAAAGAACACACAGCAGTGGCTAATGATGAAGCCGCAGCATGGACTGACCAAATAAAACTGGTAAGACATCACAGCTGACGATGACTGTGACTCACGGAGATGAGCGAATGACAAACGCCACGTGCTGCCAAATGATTTCAGACAGCATTAGGACCAGTAGCTCTTCTTGCATGAATACCCCGTGGAGCTAAGGGGATACACTTGGAGGGGCGGGGGGTCTCACATTTAACAATTAACTACCAAAAGCCGATGATTGATAGACATACAGACTATCGGCTTTGGTAGTCACTGGACCACAGGAGACGTCTTAGCTATTGTGTGTGTTTGCAAAGCCAACGACAAATACTTGTTGGAG